AATTGTGGTCTTCAAGCTAGGAAGGTAGAGTTGCCAGGTTTTAAGGGGGGAAAAATCAGGATACCCAGTTAAATTTTGAAAAATAGCCCTGTCATATTCTTGCAATTTTTTGGAAAAAAAGCTCAAATCAGTATGCTCAGGATGTCCTAACAAAGTCAATATATGATGCAAGTCAAAAAATAGACATGTCTTGTCAATACAGGATGCCTGGCAAACTTGCCCCAAGGGGAAGGGCCCATAATTAAAGGCCAAGGTCTACCCATTAACATGACATTTGAGAGGAGCTTGGATGAAGGGAGGAGCCTTCAATCACTGGCAGACTTGCTGCATGCAGAGGGACTAGGGACAGATCACGTGGAGGACTGGAGGGGCTGGAGCACAGTGAGGAAGGGGGTACTAGGTCCCAGACTTGGAGCTGGCAGGGCCAAAACAGAACATCAGCAGGATGGGAAAGAAGGAGAAACCTGCAGGACCAAGAAGGAGCTCAGGGAACAGCTCAGTTACCCCCTGAAAAGGGGTGGTACTCAAAAGTATTTAGCAGCTGGGAAGCAGGCACCAGAGCAATCAGAAAGGGTGCATCCTGGACTCCCTCTGCCATGCCAGGCATTAACTCTTCAGTTGTTGGACCATAATGGGGTCCAGGAGGTCCTGGAGAGGGTCTAAGATGGCCAGGGTGCCGGTGGGAGGGGCGTGGTTATTCAGGGGGCTAAGAGCAGAACTATTTACTCCTGGGGAAAAAAAGTATTTCAGTATTTTAACAGCTAGCATAGCTGTTTCACTGTGTCCCACAGAATGGCAGACCTGCCCCAATCAGTTCTCAGAAGGGGCAACGAACCCACGAGGCTAAGGAAAAGCTCTGGCACTTATTCTGAGCCCTGATGGTTGTAGCCTGGTCCTTCTGACTATTAAACATCTGTAGAGGACGGTTGAGCTGACTTTGTGACAGGCAACTGGTATTTTTTGGAGCTAGGGGAGAGGGTGGGATAGAGACAAGACCAAGCACACATTATACCTGTATCACCTATCTCACATCGATCTCTCCATTTGGTGAGGATGAAAGCAACATCTCCTGGACTAGAAGCTCCAGGAGGAAAGAGACTAAGATAAGTAAACACTACGATAATATCAGGTAAATTGGGGTAATAACATCAGTGTGGAAGAGTTTAAGCAATTTGAAGGTCACTTGTTTACTCATCATGCATTCATTTTTAGCACCTACCATGTGACACGCACTGCGCTTTACCCTAGGATAATAATAATTAAAGGGTTTTTTTGTTTTTTGGGTTTTTTTTGGCTGTACGCGGGCCTCTCACTGTCGTGGCCTCTCCTGTTGTGGAGCACAGGCTCTGGACGCGCAGGGTCAGCGGCCATGGCTCACGGGCCCAGCCGCTCCGTGGCATGTGGGATCTTCCCGGGCCGGGGCACGAACCCGTGTCCCCCGCATCGGCAGGCGGACTCTCAACCACTGCGCCACCAGGGAAGCCCCAAAAGTATTTTTAAAGTAATTTATTTAAATATTAAAATATTACTATACTAAAATACTAATACTAAAATACAAAAAAAGTATTTTGTTTTTTAAAAATGTGGTTGATATAAAACAGACATACTGATTTTTGAATCCCACTCAAAATATTGACTATATATATATATACCCATACATACATATATGCTAAAAAATAAACTCTGTTAAAAAAACGAACAAACTTTATTTTACAAGATTCCAAAGTGAGCCATACTCATCTTCCTTGGGAAGCACTTTGTATTGCCTTGCTTGGCAACAAAAAGAGGAGCCAGTATAACCATCAATCTGAAGTTATAACAAATATCACCTTTCCTACAGACAGGAAAACAGACAAAATTAATTCCCTTTTGGTCTTGTGATTATTGCAATGTTTACTCTGACTTACCCTCTGTGATAAGAATGAGAACTCCATGGCACAGAATTTAAATGCATGAAGGCTTGCTACGTGTTTTTTTTCTACTTTGTTCACCATGCTCTGGATTTGTAAATATGTACAATTTTCTGGGCATGGGGGTGTTCCCTGGGAGTTTGGCTACCAACACAAGCCACGACATACGTCTTTACCTCAAATTAGAGATAAAACATGTATGGGCAAAAATTTTGACAGCCCAATAAATTAACTTGAAAGAAATTATTTGCTGAGTAAGTATTAAGATTTTGATTCATGGTCTATACATTTAGATATATGCTTTTCTTGGACAGTAATGATGTGTATTTCTTTAACAGATTATGTAGTAAAAGGAAACAACATAACTTATTCAAATGAGGATAATCTGTAGAGTGAAAGGGGAGTTATTAATAATTATACCAGGACAACAACAACAAAAGCAGATGCTAACTTGCATTTATTGAATGCTTCCATTGTACACGTCTATGCTCTGCACTTGAAATACATGTCTTCATTTAATATTCAAAAACTCTCTGTGAAGGATATTATTAGACCCACTTTACAGATGAGCTGGCTGAGATCTAGACAGTTAAGACAGCTGTTAAGTGGCAGAATCAGGACTTGAACCCAGGTTCATATGACTCTAAAAAACCTCACCTTAAAGAAAAAAGAAAAAAAAAACACACCTTCTAGCAAAGGAGAAAAACTCGTAAACAAACAGTAACAGTGCAGGATGATAAGAGCTCTGACAGAGGAAAATGCAAGGTACATAGGAAAAAAAGGTGAGCCCCTGGTCCAGACTGGGGATCTTAAGAACAGCTCCTCAACACATCCCAAAGGTGGCATTTGAGCTGGGCCTTAATCCCAAATGATTCTCAAATCATTCCAAAATAACCAAGTCAGCAACTATATACACTGACTGATTTCCTTAAATATACCAGAGGCAAAGCATTTAAGAAATGATTACACCATTGGAGAATTTCAACAAATTGCCAACAAGACAAGGGTAACAAGGTAACCCCTGCCAACAAGGGTAATAGGAAAACATAAATCTCGGTGAACAGCTCAAAAGTGTAATGGGGTGCCTGGTAAACATCCCAATTATGTACTATCATATATCCTGTCATGGTGACCCATGCTACAGAATATAATTTCACTGAAATACTATCTGCCTTGTCAATAAGACAAGTGGTAGCTGCCATCTGATGGCTGTGTACTGCCCCAATCCTAAAGGAAAAGGAGTGGATGCTAATTCCTAGGAACGGTAAGAATGGCATAAGGCACTGAGAAATAAATAGTAAATGAAGGGCTCACCTTAAAGTGCTGCTCTTGGGTTCAGACTGTTTTCCCATTCACCAGCAGCGGATAGCCTTAAAAATAGAGTAAGTGGTAGAAGGGGTTGGTTGCTGTCAATAACTCCCAGGTACGGGGATGGCAGGACAGAGCAGAATGAGCACCAGCCTAGGTCTCCACGACTGCACTTCTCATCCCAGCTCTCTTACTGCATCGCAGTGTGATCTTGGGCAAATTCCCTAACCTCTCTGGATCTGTTCCACCTCTATAAAAAAGAATTCAGTACCAGGAATTCATCATCTGACATCCTTTCCATCTCTAAACCATGAGTATCTCACCAGGCTAAATTCAGGGTTAGTATTAGAAGAGCCGTTCACCTAAGAAAGAAACTAGAAAACCTTTGGTTCTGTGCCTAAAGATGGTCCACTCAGAGGTATCGTACTCTTTGGAAGACTACGTTTAATGACAAAGGATTAGCTTTCCACGTTTTTCCTCACAAGACTTACCAAGGCAAAATGACATCTTCTCTGATGTTTTACCTGGTTTCACATTCTTTTCAATATTAAATGAAATTATGTGACTAACATGCTCACCACAAGACCTGGCACTTATTAAATGGCTCCTTATAAATATTACTTCTTCTGCTTTCCCTAAAGGTTTTGGGTGTCTAATATTCAATTGCCTTGCTGGATTTGTGTTCTATAAGTAGAGATTTTTTTTAATGTGTTAAAGTTTTTTTTGTTTTTTCTTTTTTTGTTTGTTTTTATTTGGCTCTGCCGGGTCTTAGTTGTGGCACACGGGATCTTTAGTTGTGGCATCCGGGCTCTTAGTTGCAGCATGCGGGATCTAGTTCCCTGACCAGGGATCGAACCCAGGTCCCCTGCATTGGGAGCCTGGAGTCTCAACCACTGTACCACCAGGGAAGTCCCTAAGTAGAGATTTTCTAATCCCTGGTTGATACATGGAAACTGTTCCTCGTCAGACATCTCCACTTGGCTAAAGAGACCAACTGTGTTGCTGACTCTCAGAGGTTTGCCAACATTGTCTCCTATAAGACTCAAATAAATAGCACTCTATTATCCATTCCTGAGTCCCCAGAATTTTGAGAAACAGAACGAGGAGTATATCAGAAGGAATCCCACATGTCCCCCTTATTACTGAAAGAGGCTAAATTGAAACACAGCGTGCTGTGAAAAACAACACTGGCCTACTAACTCCTCTCCAAAATTAGGTGGACACCCACTGAGGCAGAGGTTGGGCTCCCACTAGAAAGGAGGAAGAGCAGTGGAGGAATGTTCTCTGTGGGCAAGTCCATGTCTAAGGAAGGAAGGGCAGAGCCAGGTCAAGCAGACCCAGCATTTCCTTCCAAGTTTACAATCAGGTAAAACCCTCCATCATCCCAAGGGTGGAGCAGGAAAGATTTCCAGAGAGGCTAGGACAGCTCTTAAGGAAAATCCCTCCATATGAAAACTGGGAATGGGAAAAAGGCATTCTCATTCACGAAAGACTGTCCATCCAGAACATCATGGAAGAAATAAATGAAGAAACAAACTAAAAACCAGTCTCAGTTACACTAGGGAGAAAGAGTAGAAGCAGATCCAGGCAACTGAAGCCCTAACCTGACCACACAGAAGAGTCAAGATGATCAGATCTCCATTCCAAAATCTCACAATTTCTAAATGTGTGCCCTTCACTTCCAAAGAGAAGGGAGGCTCAGGTCCTGACCATTTTGAGGAGCAAGGCTGGGGTTAATTTGCTGTGGCCAGCAAAATGGAGGGAGTTGTAAGAAGGGAAACGATGTCCTCTGGGATTGATCACTTGGCTGAAAAATTACTTCACCAAACACAAGCAGGGTGGCAGCCCCACTGCCCAGAAGGGGGCCAGCTGCTAATTACAACGCCTCTCTGGAGAAGCGCTTCCAACAGTATTTCTGAGTTGTTAGTTGATTAGGTTTCAGTTAAATCAATAAATCCTTTAGAGTTAACTATCTAGAAGATATTGCTCCACAATTATAATGCACAGAAAAGTGTTTATTATCAGCTTTCTCTTGTTTGGGCTTAATTATTTAAGTACTTGAGATTCAGTGGCTGTCTTCCTGCTGCCCCAGAAACAACCTGAGAGGGAAACTGGCAAACATTTCAAAGAAACCAGGTCTATTTCTAATGGACAAATGAATCAAATGAAAAATGGGCTTTTTCTCAATTATATTCAGGAGGAGCACAATTATTCAATAAATCAATGTGCATTTAGCTTAGGACAGTAAAAGCCACAATGTATTGAGTGCTTACCATGTGTTAGGTTTGCGCTAAGTGCTCTGCCAACACTATCTTATTTAATCTTTATAATTTCCCTGAAAGATAAGTAGTATTATGCCCATTTTCAGATGTGAAAACATGTCAAGTCAGTAAGAGAAAGAGACAGGATTCAAATTCAGATCTGTTGGTATTATGGGTTGAATTGTGTCCCCCACCAAAACTCACATATTCAAGTTCTAACCCCTGTACCTCAGAATGTGACCTTATTTGGTAACAGGGTCATTGCAGATATAACTAGTGAAGTTAAGATGAGGCCATACTGGAGTAGGGCGGGTCCCTAATCCCATATGTCTGGTGTCCTTATAAAAAGGGGAGATTTGGACACAGATGCACACAGAAAGAATGATATGTGAAGATGAAGGCGGAGATCAGGGGGATACTCTACAAACCAAGGAACTCCAAAGATTGCCAGCAAATCACCAGAAGCTAGGGGAGAAATATGGAACAGTATCTTGCTCACAGCCCTTGGAGAGAACCAAATCTGCTGATTTTGGACTTCTAGCCTCGAGAACTAAGAGACAATAAATTTCTGTTAAGTCGCCTGGTTTGTGGTACTTTGTTATGGCAGCTCTAGCAAACTAATATAGTTGGGTCCCCAAAATCTGTGCCTTTCTGCTGGGTCATGCTAGAGGTCTAGGTGGGCAGAGTTTCTTGCTGTTCTTGAACCAACCCATCTGGTTAGACACCCTGAACCAAGCTTTACTGCAGTTTGGACTGAGATTGTAGAGGTAATCTCTGACAACATGTCTAGTGTGGCTTCTTTCCCGCCTTCCCCTGGCTTGACTAGGTCTCCACCTGTCTTAGTGTTTCTGAGAAATCAATATTGCCTCACTCTTTGAGTTAGCAGACCATGTGTTATTCACTCATTCACTAAAAAAATACTGAGCTCCTTCTTTGTTCCCACTAGTCTCTCATGGAGTTCACAGTCTAGCAGAGGAGCACGATGTCAAGAAAATTATCACACTGGAAATTATGACAGCTATACAAAAAATGCTTGTCTTAGAGACCCCTACCAAAATTGAGACTGATCTCTGTTCCAAGCTTTCCTTTGATTCTTTTTAAAAATAAGATAGGTATGTCAGAACACCAAGAAACAGAGCCCAAAGAAAACTTAATTGTTTTATTTATTCTGTATTCAAGGCAATGATAAGCAATATTTGGCAATTATCTGCAAATTTTCTCAAATTTAATAAAAACTATAAACCTGTATATCCAAGAAGCTCACTGAAAACCCAAGTAGGAAAAACCCAAAGAAAATCACACCAAGGCACATCATAAATAAGCATAAATTCAGCAAGGCAGGCTGAAAATTTATGGTAAAGATAAAAATCTTTAAAGCAGTCAAAGGGAAACAAGACACATTACATAGAGAGGATAAATATATAAGACTGCAGAATCCTTATCAGAAACAATGCAAATAAAGAATATAAAGTGCTGAAACAAAACTACCAACAGACTTCCTAACCTAGAATTCTATAACTAGAAAAAATTCCTTCAAAAATTAAGTTGAATTAGGACATTTTTAGTAAATTTAAGATTGACAATGTATTGCCAGATAATATGCATGACAAAGAATTTTAAAGAATGTTCATTAAGCAGAAGAAAAATAATATGTGTTGAAAAAGGTAATATATGAGTAAATATAAAAGACTTTTCTAATTATTTAAGTGTTTAAAAAATATAATTGCCTATTTAGAACAAAGATAACAATAATGTATTGACGGTAGAATAATGTTGAAGTAAAATAAATAACAATTGCACAGAGGATGAAAATGAAATGTTACAAGATACATACTTTAATTATGTGTGAAGTGGAATATTACTGAGATAAAGTATGTATTTTAAACTTGAGAACAAACAAACAAATAAATAAAGCAAGCTGATAAGCCAATTGTGGAAATAAAACAAATACTAAAAAATAACTAATTCAAAAGAAGACAGGAAAAATGGAAAAACAAAAAATAAATGAGACAAATAACAATATGATGACCATAAACCCACGATTATCAAAAGTATATTAGGGCTTCCCTGGTGGCGCAGTGGTTCAGAGTCTGCCTGACAATGCAGGGGACACGGGTTCGTGCCCTGGTCCGGGAAGATCCCACATGCCGCGGAGCGACTGGACCCTGTGAGCCATGGCCGCTGAGCCTGTGCGTCCGGAGCCTGTGCTCCGCAACGGGAGAGGCCACAACAGTGAGAGGCCCACGTACCGCAAAAAAAAAAAAAAAAAGTATATTAAACATAAAGATTTTGAGCACTCCAATTAAAAGGCAAAGATTATCAGACCAGATTTGTTTAAAGGCAAGACTCAACTATATGCTGCCCATATGAAATGCACTTTAAATACAAAGACACAGGATGGGAAAAGATATATTTGAAAACACTAATCATACAGTTAGAGTGACTATATTAATACCAGGTGAAATAGAGCTCAGGAGAAGGAATATTACCATGCCTAAAGAGGAACATTTCATAAAATAAAATGGTCAATTCAGCAAGAATATGAAAAAATACAAAATGTACATGCACCTAATAACAGAGCTTCGAAGTGCACAAAGCAAAAACTTATAGCCTTTAAGCCTTAAGGAAGAAATGGATAAAATTATGGTTGGAAATTTCAACATTCTTCTCTCAGTAATCAATAGAACAAGCAGACAGAAAAATGAGAAAGTATATAGAAGAGTCAAACAACGCTATCAGGTTAAATTCATCAATACCCTTAGAACATTTCACCCCGAAACAGCAGAATGCACATTCTTTACAAATGCACACAAATGTTCAACAAAACAATCCATAGGCTGGGATATAACATATATCTCAAAAGGTTTAAAATGATAGGAATTACATAAAGTATGTTTTCTAAGCACAATGGAATTAAATAATCAATAACCAAAAAGTCATGAAAATCCCTCCAAACATGGAAATTAAACAACATGCTTCCAAATGACCCATGGGTCACAGAAGAAAGCAAGAGAGAAATTAGAAAATATATTTAACTGAATAACGAAAACTCAACATGAATTAAGATTTGGGGATGAATCTAAAGCAACACTTACAGGGAAATTTGTAGCTTTAAATGGTTTGTTTTTTTGTTTGTTTGTTTGTTTGTTTTTCTGTGCCACGCAGCATGAGGGATCTTAGTTCGACAACCAGAGATCAAACGTGTGCCCCCTGCATTGGGAGCACAGAGTCTTAATGACTGGACCGCCAGGGAAGTCCCTTAAATGCTTATATTAAGGTAATCCTCTGTGACATTTTTTCTAATTGAAGTATAATTGCTGTGTAATATTAAAGAAGTTTCAGGTGTTCACAAGTTTTAAAGGTTATACTCCACTTATAAAATATTGGCCATATTCCCTGTGTTGTACAATATGTCCTTGTAGGTTATTTTATACCTAATAGTTTGTACCTCTTATTCCCCTACCCCTATATTGCCCCTCCCCTCTTCCCTCTCCCCACTGGTAACCACTAATTTGTTCTCTATATCTGTGAGTCTGCTTCTTTTTTTATTATATTCACTAGTTTGTTGTATTTTTTAGATCCCACAAATAAGTGATGTCATATAGTATTTGTCTTTCTCTGTCTGATTTTTTTCACTTAGCATAATGCCCTCCAAGTCCATCCATGTTACTGCAAATGGCAAAATTTCGTTCTTTTTGTGGCTGAGTAGTATTCCATTGTGTGTGTGTGTATGCCACATCTTTATCCATTCGTCTGTTGATGGACACTTAGGTTGCTTCCATATCTTGGCAATTGTAAATTGCCAACATAGGGGTGCATGTATCTTTTGAATTAGTGTTTTTGTCTTTTTCAGATATATACCCTGTGACATTTTAATCCTTAAAAAATTATATGAGGATTTCTGACCTGTATTGTGTTTCTCTTTTGTCAAAGAGTGCTTGCTGAAGCTGAATGTGATGGTGGAGTTTGGGGAGCAGGTTTACTTCAGTTCAGTTTGACTGGGTCAAAGTCCATGACAGTTAAAATACTTCGGATGTCTGTTTGCTTCCCAGCCTAGGATGAAGTCAGTAGTTCTTGCTTCCTTTTCTGTTGTTGGAGAGCAATCTGCTGCAGTAGCTGTGAGCTAACCAACATCATCATCACAGTGGAGAAAGAGGAATGTGGTCTCTGCAAAAGCATCAACACCACGTGGTGTGCGGGCTACTGCTACACCCAGGTAGGTACTTTGCTTTGAAGGAAGTGAGAGTGCTGAGGGTCTGGATGAGGCAGGCTTCATTTATTCCCACTCTGTCAATATTTTGTCTCTTCTGAATAACAGCCACGAGTCCTTTAGTCAACACTGTCTGTGTTGTGATTGAGGTAAATTACCATGATACCATTTAGATGTTTGGGTTTGGATTTAATTTGGGTAAAACAAATTTGGGACAGCTCAGACTGATGTAAATGAATGCTTCAGTAATGTGCCAACTCTGCATTTTAAAAGAGCATTTTTCTGCTAGCTTTACCTATTGAGGGATAAACATGGGCATGAGTACATATCTATATTTAACCATGGAATATTGCCAATAGTCTTAAAAAGCCAATTGCAATAATAAAAGGATACCTCTGTAACAGGGAGAGTAATAACATTCATTTTAAAGCCAAATAAAAAATGCAAGCAGCCAATTATAAAATCATTTTATTGGCCCATCTTTAATACAATACCAACGAGCAGCCTGAGAGCAATCAATCCCTGTAGATTAGAACCAAAATGAATCATCAAACCCACACCCTTCTTTATGCTGTTAAGAAAATTAAGGAATACAGGTATTAAACCATTTGTCTACAGTTTCACAGTTTCTTCAAAATAAACCAGTTAAAGGCAAAAGTGTTTCTTTGCCATTTTTCTGTTGTACCTGGCTGTGCAGAAGTTTGATAAACTGAAATTGAAATTGGCTGCTTTTTAATGAAAATACTTTGTTTGATATTAAATGAATTGATCAATAAAACTCAACTTACTGCACTTTGGGTGAGATATAGACCCAGTGGCCAGCTAGGGAAATGAATTAACCCCCAGTCCCCTTTCTCCCTCAAAGCCAATTATTTTCTCATTGGGCAAGTAGAAGAGTGAAATATATTTGGCCTGATTTAGATGTTCTGATAGTGAAACTGTTATCATATACTTTTGGATTAAGAACCCCACAAAGGTACAGAATTTAAGGCAGTGGCAAGGAAGAACCTAAAAGGCAATAGAATATCCAAAATCCAATATGAGATTTCCCAAACACTTTAGGCAAAATATCAATAACTTAACTTACGGCTCTTATTCCTCTCTTAAATATACACAGAAAAGAGTACTTGGAAATATTTTTCTTTCCAAGTGCTATGTTTTTACCAGTCATTAATATAGCTTAAGATTACGAGGTACAAAAACAAAAACAAAAACAAAAAAACACCCATCCTTAAATTGCTAAGGTCATATCTTCTAAAGATACCCTTTATCTTTACATGTTTTTATGCCATACAAATTCAAAGGTTTTACAGAGTTTTAGAAATATTAAATATGTGGGTACTCTCATGGTAGAGAGAAAAGAGAGTTATATTTTCTATAACACTTCCAGGGCAGTTCAGAAAAGCGGTATAAATGTTCCTTTATGAGGTCAAGTTTCCTGTGCTTAAGTATCTTAGAAGCTGATCTTCTGAGAGCAAATATTAGAGCAAGCAGTAGTAAATCCCTGTCTCATATTGACTAAGCCAAACAGAAACTTGCAGAATATTGTAACCTAACTCTCTCTCTCTTAAACCACTCAGGATCTAGTGTACAAGGATCCAGCCAAGTCCAACATCCAGAAAACATGTACCTTCAAGGAGCCGATGTACAAGACGGTCAAAGTGCCTGGCTGTGCTCACCATGCAGACTCCCTGTATACGTACCCAGTAGCCTCTGAATGTCACTGTGGCAAGTGTGACAGCGACAGCACTGACTGCACCGTGCGAGGCCTGGGGCCCAGCCACTGCTCCTTCAGTGAAATCAAAGAATAAAGAGCAGTGGACACTTTGAGCTGCCCACCCTCGTCCTGAAAGACTAAGACATCCAAGAAGTCTGTGTGTACATGTGCCCAGGCTGCAAACCACTGTGGGAGACCCCACTGATCCCTGCTCTCCTGCATAAGGGAGCTCCAGGAATGGAGAGTGCTGGGGCCTGGGGCCTGTCACCACCCAACCCTATATTCCTAGTTCTGGGCTCTGTCGGTTTCATTCAACTTGAATGCAGGGGTTGTAAGCTGTTTCCCATTTTTAATAGACTTAGAGGTCCTCTAGAGCAACCCTGTCATTTTACAGATGAGAAAACCTAGACTTAGGAGAAGGAAGTCTCAAGATGATGGAGTAGGAGAACTAAATGGAACACAATCTCCTGTAAGATATATGGCCTGCAAGAGCAGAGCCAGTATCACTTTAGTGTCATGGAGCAGGTACCTAACTCTATATCTAATTGTTTCATTATTAAGAGGAGAGTCAGGAAGGTAGGGATACTAAATCAAGACTATCCACTTTATTGCCAGCCTATGCAGGTGCTACAACAGTTCCACCTCGCCTGTGTTTTCTGGAAGAGAAGTTGTTGACTTGAGAAGGTGGGAGCAGGTGTGGGAGGGTGGTAAGCTGGGAAACAGTGAGACCATTCACAATTTGCAGGCTTAAAAACCAAATCTTAATTTTTATTTCAAATTTGAATTAAGAGCCAAGACGAGAACTATGAATTTGGGGCTGTGGAAATTCAATTGCAAGATCAACAAATATCCTTTCCTAAATTGCTAGCCCCTATGTACTTTGCCACTTAAATAAATCTGATCAAGAACTTCCAGCCTTCTCAAAGCTCCCCCTCAGGCAATAGGGCATCTCATCTGTCACTTATTGCTGTGCCACCTGTACCAGAAATTTCCTCCATTGCTGGGATGGGAACCTTGAAGTCCATGTGACAGCACATTAGGCAACTTAACAGGCTACATTTAACTTACTTGCCAATTAACTTTTCAGAGAAATAGTTCTCTTAAAAAGAGTTTGCAGTCTAGAGAGAATAGCTGTATTTTCTGGGCTCTCTCTACATTTGCTTTATCACTTGACTACATGTTCTCCTAAATCTATGATTTCTTTCAAAAGGGTGCACTCTGAAAATGCTTCATGACTTAAATTACTTTTAAAGATAATAACTCTTTTTTTTCACCTGAATGTTGAAACATACTTAAAAATCAAAAATGTTGTCTAACAAAGGCACAACTTTGGATTTTTCCATGCTCTTGAACTACTTGCTCATGACACATACATGTGTATTTTCATAATATAAGTGGTAACGTTACTAGAAATCTATTTTTAAATGCTTCTATAAATATCACCTGTGCTTACTGTTCATTTGGGAATATCAATAAGAATTTTACTGGATTTTAGTGTTCTTTTTTCCCTAAAATAGACCTTCTGTCATTTCTTGTATCATCACTTTCTTAATTTATTCCTACTCTTAACCCCCAGTCTACACTAAAATTGATTTATTCCCAGAAAGCTCTTAGCATGTCTTACCTGTAACTCAGACTCAATGGGAAGTTTTCCTCATAACCTTTGGAATCTAGTTAAGTACTAGAGCTGATATATTTTCCAGCACATGGATATCAAGGATTATTCTTCTCAGGAGATGCAGAAAAATCATTTGACAAAATTCAACATCCTTCATGATAAAAACTCTCAACAAATTGGATATAGAAGGAATGTACCTCAACATAATAAAAGCCATATATGACAAGCCCACAGCTAACTTCATATTCAATGGTGAAAGACTGAAAGCTTTTCCCCTAAGATCAGGAATAAGAGAAGGATGTCTACTCTCACCAGAGAATATTCCAACATTACCAGAAGTCCTAGACATAGCAATCAGGCAAGAAAAAGAAATAAAAGTCTTCCAAATCAGAAAGGAAGAAGTAAAACTGCCTGTGATTGCAGATGACATAATCTCATATGTAGAAAGCACTAGCGACTCCACTCAAAAACTGTTAGAACTAATGAATGAATTCAGCAAAGTTTCAGGATACCAAATCAACGTACAAAAATCAGTTGCATTTCCATATACTAACAACAAAACTATCTGAAAAAGAATTAAAGAAAATAATCACATTCACAATAGCATCAAAAACAATATAATAGCTATGAATAAAGTTAACCAAGGAAATGAAAAATCTGTACAATAAAAAATATAAGACCATGATGAAAGAAACTGAAGAAGACACAAATAAATGGAATAATATCTCATGTTCATGGGTCAGAAGAATTAATATTGTTAAAATATCCAGGGGCTTCCCTGGTGGTGCAGCGGTTGGGAGTCTGCCTGCCGATGCAGGGGACACGGGTTCGTGCCCCAGTTCGGGAGGATCCCACATGCCACGGAGCGGCTGGGCCCGTGGGCCATGGCCGCTGGGCCTGCATGTCCAGAGCCTGTGCTCCATGGCGGGAGAGGCCACAACAGTGAGAGGCCCGCGTACCACAAAAAATAAATAAATAAATAAATAAAATATCCATACTACTCAAAGCCATCTATAGATTCAATGTCAAAATTCATCTTTTATAGAAATAGGAAAAACAATCCTAAAATTTGTATGGAACCACAAAAGACCCTGAATAGCCAACTTGAGGAAGAAGAACAAAGCTAGAGGCATCACAGTTCCTGGTTTCAAACTATACTACAAAGCTACAATAATTACAACAGTATGATACTGGCATTAAAAAGACACACTGACCAATGGAACAGAATCAAGAGCCCAGAAATAAACCTATGCATATATGGTCAACTAGTATTTGACAAGGCAGCCAAGAATACACAGGGGGGTAAAGATAGTCTCTTTATTAAACGATATTGGGAAAACTGGATATCCACATGCAAAATAATGAAACTGGACCACTACTTTACACCACTCACAAACTAACACAAAGTGACTTAAAAACTTGAATGTAAAACCTGGAACCGTAAAACTCCTAGAAGAAAATATAGGGGTAAGCTGCTTGCATTGGTCTTGGCAGTGATTTTTTTGGATATGATACCTATAGCACAAGCAACAAAAGCAAAAATAAATGGGACTACATTTAACTAAAAATCTTCTGCACAGCAAAAGAATTGATCACCAGTTGAAGAGGCAACCTAGGGAATGGGAAAAAATATTTGCAAACCACATATCTGATAAGGGGTTAATATCCAAAATATAATTCAATAGCCAAAAAAAAAAAAAATCTTATTTTAAAAATGGGCAAATGACCTAAACAGACATTTTTCCAAGCAAGACACATAAATGGCCAACAGGTACATGAAAAGGTAAAACAGCACTGATCACCAGAGAAATGCAAATCAAAACCATGATGAGATATCCTTTCACACCTGTTAGAAGGGCTATTATCAAAAAGATAAGAGATAACAAGTGTTGGCCAGTATGTGGAGAAAGAGAACCCACAGCACTGTTGGTGGAAATGTAAATTGGTGCAGCCACTATGAAAAACAGTAGAGAGGTTCCTCAAAAAATATTAAAACTGAACTACCATATGATCCAGCAATTCCAATTCTGGGTATATATGAGAAGGAAATAAAGTCACTATCTCAAAGAGATACCTGCACCCCCATGTTCACTGTAACATTATTTAAAATAGCCAGGACCTTGAAATAACTTAAGTGTCTGTCAGTGGATAAAGAGATAAAGATGATGTGGTATGTACACACAATTGAATATTATTCAGCCATAAAGAAAGAAGGAAATCCCTCCGTTTGTAACAACATGGATGAAACTTGAAGGCATTATGCTAACTGAAATAAGTCAGAGGAAGGCAAATACTGTATGATCTCACTTACATGTGGAATCTAAAATAAACCACAGAGAACAGACTGGTAGTTGCCAGGGGCAGGTGGTCAAGGAGGGAGAAATGGGTAAAGGTGGTCAAAGGATACAAAGTTCCAGTTATAAGATGATAAGTTCTGGGGATCTAATGTACATCATGGTGACTATTATTAACAATACTGTATTATATACTTGAATGTTGCTAAAAGATATCTTAAAAGTTCTCACCACAAAAAGGAAATAAATAAATAAAAATAGAAATAAATAAAAAGGTAACTACATGAGGTGACAGATGTGTTGACTAACCTTACTGTGGTAATCATTTCACAATGTATACATATATCAAATCATCATATTTCACACCTTAAACTTATGTCAATTATATCTTGATAAGGCTGGAAAAAAATTAAATTTCTAAAGAAAAATAATTATTCTTCCCAAATGACTTTTTTTTTCCATTCAATTTGAAATTCTTGAATTGAGAATGAGTACATGTTAAAACAGTGGGCCTCTCATAATAATCATCTGCTTTGCTCTTCACGAACAGATGTGATTATACTTTTTGACTGTACAAAGATCTAAGAACAAACAAAATGAAAGCTGGATAGAATCACAGAATGGAGAGAGGACTGAAGGCCATCTAGTTCTGTGTTGCCATTTACTGTGTGCTAACACTGAGGCCTGAGATCACATAGGATCAGAATTAGAACCCTGCACCCCTTATTTTTAGTCTCTCTTCAGAATATCTCCCATTATGCCATCAAAACACTTTGCCAACCAAACTAGATCATTCAAACAAGGCTATCTGCAAAGTGTAGACTATCACATACATCTCTATTCTCTGTAACATTTTTATGTCAAAACTAGACGGCAGTTCTGGTGATCAAAAAAAAAAAAAAAGTTAGTAACTCTGTGGATGTAGGGATTCTGTCTGCCTCTGTCTGCCTTTGGGTAAACCCTTGGCACTTAGTAGTACCATTAGTGGTATAAATGGATTGATTCAAACTGAACCGAGAATCTGTTTGCCTGCAATTTCCATCCAGTTTTCTCTTTTGGAACCATCCAAAACAAAATTAATCTCTTTTCTGTTTGAACACCATTCAAGTAAGGAGAGCAGCTATGTTCTTGTTTCCAGCCTGAAGATTAGCAGTTCATTCAGCTGTTCTTTGAATAATCCAG